GCTCTTCCATTTTGGCCTCAACTTTGCAGGCCAACAAAGACGACGTGTAGGTCCTACTCAATGTCATCATGCGATCCCTGGACTAAACAAGGAAGACCCGAGTGAGCAGTGTCACGAATGACACATCTCTTCGTTGCTTGAGAGAACAGCAGGCTCAGCTTGGATGAAATCGGGTTACCAGCAAATAACGGATCTGGTAGGACAAGCAATAGGAATTTCATTGCTTGGCAAAGAAAAGCGTTTCAGAAAGTCGGAAACTATGAAGTTGCCCCCTCTGGTCAAAGGTTCAACTCGGCCACTGGCTGCAATTCAGCCCATGGGTAGCAATGCTGCTGGCTCACCAGTGACCCTGAGCTTGCATTTGGAGACATCCCCGAACGGTATCTCCGTCATCTGAGTAGGCGAGGAACCAGGTCTCATCCTGCCCAGCAATCACCTGGCTTCACATCTTATCTTCACATCTCAAATGGAGTGTGGCAACCCCTGACACCATCAGAGGTCAGAGAAGTGAGGAAGGTCTAGCTGGCTTAATTCCCTCTCTTTATCCTTGAATTAAGTTTCAAAGGGAGGCGATAACTCATGCCACAAGAGCGACTTTGCTCTTTTTATAGCACTTAATGGTCACCATCCAAAGCCACAAGAATGAGGTCCTCCAGATAAAGCCACCTCACTGGGCTCCCGTTCCCCTGAGCACCTCTCCCATTCTTCCCTTTCTGCTGCTTAGCGACAGCTTCGGCCTCTCGGCCTTCAATACCTCTGCTCATTGACATAAAAGATGACTTTTGGTCTCCAAAGCATTATGTGACCACTATGCACACTGAACCAGCACTGACCAGCTATTCCAGGGCTGACACTGGGAATGGAAAGCTCTGCGATTCCCTAACATCTTCCCCTAACACAAGAAAGAGCCCTTCTAAAGCAAGGAAAAACAAACGCATCAAAGCAAATGGGGACAGGGTGAAGGGAATCTTCAGGTCTATCAATGATTCCAACACACTTTACCATCAACTCAACCCACGTCTCACTGTTTCGAAATCTCCAGGGACCTTATGGATTCTGCTGTTCTCTAATCTAAAGACTCTGCTCAGCTCCATCACAGGGGGTTTGATCCCTCATATTGCCCTATTAACCTGACACCCCACTCTTGAGAGCAATGCCATGTCACCTTCTCTAGGTGCTTCCTTTGGTTTTGAACAACATTTATGCTCAAGAGACCCCAAGAAAGTCAACGGTCCCCCCCGTTCACTGCAGGCAGCTGGAGCAGCGGGGAGAGGAGCTGGACTGCAGTCAGTGGCACTGCAGCTACCAACATAAGAGTGATACTGAAGATTACAGCAACAAACAAAACGAGAGGCCGTGCCGGAGTAAATCCCTCCTCCCGTGCAAATGTGCACATTAAAAAAAAAAAAGCAATTCCAGTGGTTTTTGGTTTTTTTACAGTCCTATAATAACAATAAATTAACCATTCTAGAAACTTTCCTTTAAGGAATGCCACCTCTGTAAAAGTGCACGACAGTTTTATAGCTTTATCTCATAAAACACATTAACTAGTATAAAATAGCAGAAAAGATGAATAAACCATCATCTCAGTCTTGCGGATTACTTAAACCAGGCAAACAAGCCCAGGGCTATTTCGTAGTTTCTTAGGTAGGAGTTGGACTGTAACTTCTGCCTTTTGCTCAAACAGCCCACACAAACAGCAGTGTGCCTATGCCATGATATCTATTCCACTTTGGGGAACCAAAATCAGAAAATATCACAAGCAGCTTCATTTTATTTGGATGTAAATCGGTGCCTGACTTCCAAAAGCTGTCAGAGGTATACCCTGGCGCTTGGTTTTCAGAAGGTTTTTACTTACTTGTATTTTAAGAGCAGCCACTGAACAAACCACAGTCCTACAAGGATCATGCCGTTGATTTCACAAATAGAAAAAGCCCATTGCACCCGATCAAAGCGATCAAAAAATGCATCTGGTAGGGGAGGCTGCACCTCCTTGGGAGGCACTCGTTCATGAACGACTGAGATAGTCACTGTGGTAAAGATGAAACAAAAAAGTGCATAAATAAAAGCCAGGAAAGTCTTGCCCCATTCCATGGGATACTGTGAGCGCTCTGGCTCTGGCATGGGGATCTTTATCATCTCCTTCTTATACCCATTTGGCATCCCGTTCAGCTTCATTTTACTGCTAAAGCCATTCTCGCGCGCCGTGTCGCTAACGCTGCTGCGGATGTGCCCGTTGACGTGCCCGTTTTTGTGAGCCTCCATGTGGTGAGCCATTTTTAAAGTTTCAATCATGTGCAATAGCCGCTGTCCGCTGTCGGAAGACACCCGGGAGAGAGGCGTCTTCTTAAAATCCTCCTCCGTGAGGTTGATCAAATCCTGCCCAGTGAAGCTCTTCAACGGCTCACAGTACTCTGGCACAGCATTTTCCGTTAGCCAATTCGTCACCTCCTCGGGTGACCACAGCACCACTTCTTTCATCTCGCCAGGCAGCCGGGGCACAGTCTGACATTGATTTTAAATTGGGCAGCAGTCACTGCGACTCCAGCGCGTCGGAAAGCTCCTCCTTGGCTTCATCTCGTCCGAGCAAGCAGTTTGGCGAGAGGCAAGTCCCTGTCTCTAACCGTCCGATATGAGCATCCAGGCGCTGTGGCAAGCATAGGAAACGGTTCACTTCATATTCGCGTTGGCATTCTTCTTCCTGAGGAGGAGAAAAAGCCAAAACCAGTCATTAAGACGGCATTTACCGATAGTTTGCAATTCATGTTTAAAGATAAAATTACTGCAAAATAATAGCTGGACTCTGGCACGGAAAAGACTAACTGATTTGAGCTCTAGCCTTGTACACACAGCACTGTCCTTTCTGAGCTACTGATTTCTCAAGAGCTTTAAGAGTCTTGTATTATAAACACCGTTTTGGCTGTGGGAAGGACTCCTTCCTGCTCTGTATTTGTTAAATTTTCTATTACTCTGCAGCTCTGGTCCATAGCCGGTACCCAAACTCCTCTTAAAAGTCGTTAAACGTTTGCTCTGTACGTTACTCATGTCACAAACCTCCTCTCCCCCTTACAGCGTGGTATATTAATGCAACGTGTTGCACCCAGTTATGGAATAGGAAGCCTGGCTTTTGTTCTGCAAGGTGAAAATATCTAGTGTACCACAAAAAGCACTTTTCTACAGGTCAGCAACAGCAAAAGAAAAATAAAATTACGTAGATGAGCAAGGTTATACTCTCTGGGGCAAACCACCAGCAGGAAAAACAGGTTCCCCTGAAAATAAACCAAAGCATTTAGGTTTGCAGGACTCTAGCAGATGTTTAGCAGCTCTTCAAGGTAAATTTTACCGTTTCCATGGTATACTGCTACGATGCAAATAAATGTTTGTCATCAGCTAAAAAAAGAACCAGTAGAAAACCAAAACTTTAACTAAAAGAAAAAAAAAAAAGGAACTAGGTAACAAACTTCTACACCCAATTATTTACAAGAATAGCTCAGAAAGCTTTGAAAAACTGATTGCTTCCAATAAAGAAATTACAGAAGTTACAGAGAAGCTGATGTTACTCGCTGGAACCTCTTCCTGCATTCTCCAGACACGAACAACAAAATCCTCAGCACAAGGCGGCGATCATGTGGCAGTGAACGCTACCAGCGAATTCCCAGGTTTGAGATGTTTATTCAACGAACAAACGAAAAAAAAATGGTCTTCCCCAGAGCAAAGAGAGGAAAACAGTGAGACCCCGTCTCCAGCCTGCCCTCCCACAGAGCAAGTCTCTCCTGCAGGAAGCTGTGGCATCGTGAACGCAAAGTGCTTGAAGAAAGTAACAGCACGAGGAAAAACACACTTCATATTTTCAAAAGTCGTGTCATGCCTTTATCAGCTCTAAAGAATATTTTTAGCCTCTTAACAAGCTACCAGATGTTTGTGTTTCATCACAGGGAGCAAAGTTGCCACTGAGAAAAACCAAAATAATCTACGCTACCGGCATGATTTGAGTAGAAGAAGATACAGAGCTATCCTCCGACACAAAACGTGACCGTGCTGCACATAAATATATTTTCTGACCTCAAAACTGAGCAAGAACCACAAGGTGCAGTTTTAAATCCGTTTCTCTGTGGAATGATCCGGGTCTGGTGACTGAGAAGACAAAAAGCTTTGGAGGGAAGACAGGCAGTACTTTGCATACAGCACCTCTCGCTTGATGGGCACGCCAGGGACGCGCACGTATTTAAATCCATGGAGCAACCAGGGATGAAGACGAATATTCCCCCTTGCGAATATCTGGGCTGTTTTAAAACAACAGAAGAGAGGATACAGTTCTATTTTCTTTCTCTCTTTTTTCTTCTTTTTTTTTTTTTTTTCAGTGGGATTATATGTACTGAGGAAGGCTTTTAGCCATGGATCACTTCATTATTCAAGTTGTGTTTAGCAAATCGGTATTTAGTTACACAGCTCTGAACATGGAAAAAAAAGACGGGTTGAATTATGCATGTTAACCCACATTAGAAACTCCTACAAGACTTTAACCAAAGGAGAGCAGCTCAGCTCTCCACCACGTTGGTCTCCGCCGTACTCACTGTCGTCACGTTATCACGGGGCACCTGCAATCCTGGATCTGGCAGCAGCCGCAGCACAAAGCTCCAGCATGAACCCTTCATCCTTACTCCATGCCGGGGACAGCTGGTGTCACCACCAGTTATGGGAAGCTCTTTTGCCTCCGGCTCCCCGTTTGGCCTCCGTCTGCCCATCAAGGGCGATGTCAGCCTTGAGCTACCTCGTTTACCAACGCCTGCGGCTCGACCCGCTCGCTCGCTGCAGGCCAAGGAGATGGGAACACCGTGGCTTTTTTGACGTCCCCAGTATTTCAGTCTCAAGTGATGCATCAGTGATTCACAACTCAAGGAATCGCTGTCTATGCAAAGGAAAACGCAACGCACACTTTCACACTTGTCCTAGAGTCAAAACTCAAGTTGAATCCGTGAGATGCAGCACCAGACACCGCACAACTAATACTAACAGACTTCTCTCGCCGCTGCCGAGGGTAGCGCCTTACAATCTTGATAGAGCCCAAGTTATTTAGTTTTTAATCCCGTTCCAACACCGAGGCTCTTAGCCTGCAGCAGGACCTCATTTTCCCATGCCATTTAAGTCACATCAGTTGCCTTTCCAAGTTTTGCTTTACAAACGCAGCATGGATTTGGGGTTGTCGAAGCGCTCCGTGTACACCACGAGGTGGGGCAATATTAAACCTTTTCAGTTTTTAACGCTGGAGTGACTGCATCGCAGTTTCCCAAACCACTCGGAGAGGAGGAGAGGACCTTTAACCTACATGCTCCCGACATACCAGACTTTCTGTCCAGCCCCTGACAACATACTGCAAGCCTCCTGCATGCTGAAGGATTTGGGATCCCAAAGACACGGGGCAAAGGGCTACACTCATCACTGTTCAGGAGCCTGTAGCCCACCTTCAAATTACATCTCCTTCCTTACCACGCACATACATTTCCCCCTGCCACGGCTAAGCTAGTAGATTTTTAAGATGAGCTCTGCGTAAGACAAGCTTTTAAGATGAGCTTTTTGTGTCTTCATGGAATAGAAAATATAAATAGACCCCCCTAAGAGTCTTTGTTGGCTTTCAAAATGAGAAATCCCATCTCAAGCAGAGGCCCACACTTTCACCCCGTCTCATCCTCTGTGGATGGACAGACAACGATGGCGTGGGGCTCACCAAGGAGCAAGAGGCTACCGAGCAGAAAGCTTCAAGTCCTCGCAGATGAGGTTTCCGGGAGCACGAGCGCAGCACTGGCCAGGCGCAATCCCAGCCCGCTGCTATCGTACCACCAGTGTGTAAATCACTACCGAGCACCTTCTGTAAAAGCAGAGTAACCGATACGCTCGGGAAGAAGGCTTAGAGGAAAGGTAATACTCTGCCAAGGACGCAGGCCATGGAGTCGTTTTCATTGAGAGCTACAACGAGGAAAAACAACTACAATTTCTAATGAACACCCATCATTCAAACCTCTACTTCACAAGCCTGTCTAATGGGGAAAGAATAGGCAGAAAAGCTTCTTTACTAACACCTTTCAGCTTGTCACATTAAAAATACCTCGTTTTCTATCGTGTGTTCACGAAAGCTCGATCGGGTGAGGTTTGCAGAAACGGTATGGGAAACTCATAGCCCTCACTTCCACAAAAAGTCTTCTCCTGGTCCAGAAAAGCCTGAGGACAGAAAGCAGGGATGGGCACCCGCTGCTGCCTGGCCATGTGCACCGGCTTCACTTTGTGCCGCTGCCCCAGCAAGGCACGGGGACAGGCAGGGCGACGGGTGCCCACTCCTGCTCCGGTACGGGTTGTCAGCCTGGGCCAGGCGACCGAAACGCCCCCTCCATCCACAGCAGATCTGCTCCATTACAGAGCCTTTATCCCATAACGAATTATAAATAACAATGCCATTATCGTAGTAATACCAACTGCACTGTGATAATGATGCCGTGTAAAACTGGTGTCTCTAAATACCCACACCACAAGACCGAGCGGGATGAAATAACTCCAGCAAGGGCTCCCAGTCCCCGCCTCCTTGTATTTACATGGCCTTTTTTCCCCTCTTCCCAGCAAACACTAAAGCGCTAACTCAAAACTTTCAGATCCTTTCCCCCTTTCCCGACAAGGAGTATTTCCCACCACCACTTCAATCTGCCCATCTGGGGGTTGTAATACCATGACCACGGCCACCCCAGCTGGTTAAGCAAGTACTTGAGAACGCACCGCATAACCCTGCATTATCAAGACCTGTTCTCTTTTCCATCGTCTGGCAGAGATGCGGTTGGGCGTAAGGACCAAACATGGGAGCATCCACCTCTTTAGTTAAAGGATGAGATAATCAGCAACAGAATTCATCAGCTGGCTACACCTCCACACGTGACTTGCCGGTCAGGGCGCAGAAAACTCTGCCGTTTTCTGTCTCTAGGTCTGCTTGGAGGATAACTGAGAACTCACGTTGGACGTCACTGCTTCAGATTTCATTTCAAAGTCCATGGGCTCACTGCTGAGCGAGCGACGGACGTTCCCCGGTCAGGCAGCACGAGACTTTGTCTGGGATGGTTGCAGGGTCCACGGAGCAGTAACCTCCCTCCACAACCCCAAAGCTGGCTTCCAGGTTAATGCGCCGTTCCCTATTACCTCTAAATTCGCAAGCAGAGAGCATTAACGTCTCGCAGTTAACACTGATTAAGACAAACCCCCATCCACCTAAAACAGAGCAGTCAACACCCCCAAAACCAGTTCATTCATCTCCCATCTCCCTCCTAAAGCACTTTGAAACCCGACCAAAAAAACCCTAAGTCTTCCCAAATCGAATCATGCCTTCCTCATGTTTGTACAGTGCTTTTATTCTCTAGGCGAGGACCTTTGCTGCCAAGGCAACAGTCACTATAGAAATCAGTAAAATAACCAACCGTTTCAGAAATGGCGACCGAGCTCTCCCCAGGAGCCAAGGAGATTTTTCAAACCCTTCCAGAGGTGGTGGGTGTGTTTCAGTTGCAACGCTGAGCATCCTTCTCAAACACCCCAGAAAAGTCAAGATGATAAAAACATTAGTAAAAAACCCAACCAAACAAAAAAGTGTTAAAATGAGCGAGGTCTAAGGGATAAGCACAGTTTGAAGATAAAATAGTGACATTTTCTCGCTTGGAAAAACAAACGC